CCTAATTGTATGTGTGTCCCCCATTATCCAAGGTTCATTAGAAATAGTGTTTGGCGTTAGTTGCCAGGGGGATTTTGCCTCGGATAATGAATCAGCAACGGATCAATACTAGTTGCCTCGTTGTCACGACTGTGGGCAGGCTTTTCTGCAATCCTGTACGGTCTTCACTATCCACTCCCCCCCGCTGAAGCTGATTATATCCGTGACATATAAATCCCCATGCGACACCCGAATAGATGTTTCGGTCATGGCTTGTGCAGAAATGTTCAAGTGGGTTCTTGGGATGTCAGGGGTTGCCTGGTCCGGTCCGATGTTTGCATAAGTTGCCACGATGATGAAGTGTATGTGTAGGGTTTTTCAAATAAACCAATTCTGGCCTTGTCATGACTCCATTTTTTTTTGGTTCAGGTTCTTGCTTTAGGTCTAAGTCTCTAAGTCATGCAGCGTGGGTTCTTAAGGTGTAGGATTGATTCTGCGGATTCGGGCTTGGTGTTTCTTACGGTTGCGAGAAGGTGTAAGACTTGGAAACACTTCCCTGAAGCCTGACAACTCTGTCACTTCCAGCCCTCATGTCTTGCTGACTTTTTGGGGCATATATGGGGGTTCCCAAAATTAGGGGTACCATGTTGGGGGTCCCCATAATAAGGGTTATAGTATAGTGGGGTCCCCTTGCTTTGGGAAACTACCATATTAGATGCCCAAATAGTTTGGCCAGAGCGATTGCATGCTGGATTAGACTTAGTATGTTTGTGTAAGGTGATGTAGTATAGATGCAATGCTGGAAGTGTGAGCCAGTATTTCATGTTTCTTGTTTTCCCTCGCCGGCAGAATCCGCCCATGGTCGACCAGTCACAAGAGCTGCCCCAGGCCATGTTACGAGAGATCTGGGCTTCTCAAGGGAAGTTGCATTTTTCTTTGCCTAGCATGGAAACAGTGCGTTATTTGGATGTGATGCTTATATCTGAGTAGCCATGTTTGGAGGGATTAAGATATTTGCAACTTGTTCAAATTCATGCGTGCAATTGTGCTTTCTCGAAAATGACCCATACATCCTTCAGCGCACTCCTACATCGATCGCCGATCAAAACATTTGATGGGATCCCGAAGGCAATGCAGGCCCATGCTGAAAAAGACCCATTCCACATTTGAGTATTCTATTTGGGGATACTATGGTACCCAATATAGAGTAAGATTATTTAACCACCAAAAAACACTACTCATTTGCTCCACAAGAGTGTGTGAAGCCTATGATGCAACTACCTAGACCCTCCTCCTACCCTCTATTAGGGCCTAAGTACCCACTATTAGGGACCATATGGCCCCAATTAACGGTACAAGGAAGGTCCTGGTACAGAATGGGTCCGGCCTGAGCCACTGAATGCCACGAGCGCCACCTGACTAATTGGCGATGGCTGGCGCTCATTCCCAGCAGTGTAGGGGGCAAATGATCCTATTATCTTGGGAACTTTTCAGTGATATGACATTAAAATAGGACTACTTACTCACGTTTTTCGGGGGATGGGTTCACGCTTCGGGGCCGATAATTTAACTCATTCACGGATACCCCCCTAATTAACAGGCGCAACCCGCCAGCTCCTAAACCCGAAGTTTCTCAAATGGGGATTTGTGTGAGTACTTTTTTGGGGATCCAGTAAGGACTATAGTATTTGGGTCGTTATATTGTGGTCCCCCATTTAGGGAAACTACCAAATTGTTGCTTGATCCTTTGTATTCCCTACATGTGTGTGCCCAAGAGACTTGACAAGATTTTACATCTCCTCCTATCCATAGGTTTTTTGAGGGACTTATTTGAAACTCCCCGGTTGCACCCATACTTCTTTGGGAGGACCTTCGGGCAATCTCGACGCAGCTGGCAGCACACTCCTCGGCGATTCTTCCAGGGTTCGCCCAGGAGGGTTTGTGGCTCGAGGTGGTTTTGAATGTATAGTCCCCCTTACGAAAGTAGAATATGGGGTATAGTATAATAAGATCCATATATATGCCATACTCTATTTACTTATTGGGGACTATATGTTTCTGTTGGCTGAACGGATTTCACGGGTGTTCGGATGAAAGGTTTCGGGGTTCCGGACCTTGTTTACTGGTGCTTAAGCAAAAATGGGGGAGTGCATCCTGATACTCTCGGTATCATTTCCTAGAATATTGACTCAAATTAATGTCCTACTTCCCCTCAAGCATCTAGAACGCCAATCAGTAAGTTTGAGGTTTTTTCAGATATATTTCATGAGAGCATAGATTTGCGTAGGGTCTTGCGCAAGCAGTTTTGGGCCATTACATATGATCATGCAGTTATCAGCGTGTTTGAAGTTTATCCAAGTAAGAGCAATCTTTGACACTATGGGGTGTGGGCGCACTACATAGCATGTTTGCTTAACTCATGGAAGATCACGCTTGGCAAAAAACGGACAACAAGAAAGACACCCCCAAAAATCCAAATATGATTAGAAGCAAAGGCCTGATTCAAGCAAGGCAAAAGATGGGACTCCATATGAGCTGGCGTCGAAACTCCTCAAAAAGGGTTACATAGAGGATTATATGGGGGAGCATTGACTATTGTAGGGGTTATTAAGGGGGATATTAGGAGTTTAGACCTTAGCTCATACTCTTCCCCGTCAGAGTGGCCTCCCTACTGCGGTTCATAATCCCCACAGATCCCTAAACCCTAAACCTTAAACTGTTTAGGGTTTAGGGTTTAGGGGCCCTAAACCCTAAACCCCACAACAGTAGCCACGGGCTTAAGGAGCCGCTGCAAGCTGATGACCATGAGACGTCGGACCGCCCACTTTCCATCGTCCCGACATTATGACACGTTCCCTATAGGGTTTAGGGTTTAGTGGGGAGATATATAAGGATAATGGAAAAGAAAATGGAAACCACTTTTGTATGATAGGATTTAGGGTTTAGGGTTTGATTCCTGTATATGAGCCATTGTCTAAACTCTTAGTATCCCCCTTAATGACCCCTATAATACTCCCCTAGATATCCTCCACCTTGGAGTTTAGACTACAGCTCATATCATTCTGGTATAGGTACTTCAAATAGACCTCAAAATGATATTGGAATTGTTGAGGCCCTTACAGCATCTTAAAGGGATCTTAGGGACATATAAGGGCTCTACGGGAAATTGTTTAGGGTTTAGGGGTTTAGAATTTAGGGTATCTTAATAGGGAATATATTGACAATGGAAAAGAACATGGAAACTGCCATCGTATACTGGGCGATTTAATTGTGTTTGCGTTAAGGATTTACGGGTTACTTGGAGAGTCAGGGGGACTTAGCAAGTATACTTGTTATCCTTATTGAAGGCCACGTAATACCCCGTTTATCCTTATTACCCTACTTACTGAGTGCCCCTGACCCTGATTAAACCCCAAACCATGTGGAAGTCATGGAATATATAACTCAATATAATTACCATTATCCTTTACAATTAGCAACTATTGCAGGCATGGGTGTCCACCTAAGATAGACCGTGCATTTCGGCTTAAATCTTGTACACCAGACGATGCATGCGCCGCCCAAGATCAAAGTAGATTGCCTTACAGGCAAACGACATGATCCGAACTCACACAGGAAATGGGTATCAGGTCAAGAAACAAAATCCTACGTGTGCTGTCCATGTACTTATAGATTTGAGCGTAGGCTTTGCCGCGATGACGGGCCAGATCGCAACATCAACTCGGCTGTGGCAATGGTTGCTGTTCTCACCGGGGCCGTTCTACTTCTACCCCTGGAAGTCGCTTGCAAACCAGATAGCGGGAGATTCCTACGCCATCGGCCACCGGCATTTTGCTGCCGGGCACTACGGCCGCATCAATCTTGCGCTGCACTGTGTGGCGCTGTTCATACAGACTTTTGGGAACTTTGGATTGCTCGAACACCTGGACAAGTTGCTGCCCTACTCAAAGGTGGGGATCCTCAGGTAACATAAGGGCTTACAGGAGCATATACGGGTGTATAGGGATAATGGAGAAGAAGCTGCAAACTACTGTTATGCACCATAACCCCAATATACTATAGTAGTTTCCATTTTATTTTCCATTATCCCAATATTACCCCTATATAACCCCCATTAACATATAGCAGTTTCCATTTTATTTTCCATTATATGACCCCAATTCTAACCCTAAACCCTAAACCTAAACCCTGAACCCTAAACCCTAGACCCTAAACCCTAAACCCTAAACCCCAATTTTAGGTTTTTTTCAAGGTGGGGATCCTCAGCTCATGGAGTGCAGCCGCCTGGACGGCCTGCTTGGCGTGCTCACCTGCACCCGCACTGGCACGGATAGCCAGTTGCTGGGTTGCCGTTAAGGGTTTAAATTAACTTACCATACTGGGAATATATACTTAATAATAAGTTCTCCCCAATATGGTAGCTTAATTCAAGTTCCTTACCAGCAACCCAGGTTGCGTCTCGGTGGCGATCGCCTTTCGGGGAGCACCGTATGCCACTGGGCCATGTTCCCCTTTCTATGCTCTTAAACTGCTTTCCATGCTCCACTAAAAGTACCCGGTACCTAACGCCTCCATGAACGCCTAGCTGAATCCATTAAATTGCCATAACCCCAACCTCGACCCCGACCAACCCGTGCACCTGGCAATCCCTCCAATCCGTAAGCAGTATCCCCGCTAGTAGGGTCCCTAGGCTACGCCAGAGCGGTTTGAACTCGCGGCGCCAGCGGCATTCGCAGCGGTGCTGACGTGGGCGCAGGCCACCACGAGGAGGCCTGTTCCTGCTGCGAGCTGCTGGGCTGTTATTGCATTTGTTTACGAGAAACTCCTGTGTATAGGAATGTGGAAGATACGGGAGTGTGCTCGGGGTGCTATGGGGATCCATGCCCCTTGTTTCCTATTAACAGCCAGCAAAGTCAAGTGGATTAGCTTAAAGTGGATAGCTAGGCTTTTTTGTCAAAGCGTTGGAGTTTCCTTGTTGCAGTTTCATTTTCTCGGACTGGCAAGGCTACAGACGGGGGCTCATGCTGATGGCTGCGTGGTACGCCGTGTGGAGCTTGTTCCGGCGGACCTGCGGCAAGAAGCTGAAGGATCCCCCCTAAACTCTAAGCACTAGACCCCCAAACTCAAAACCCCAAACCTTAAATGCCTAGACCCTAAGCGTCCGCAACCCCAAACTCTAAACTCGAGGCTTTGAAACCCAAGTCCTTTGCTGCAGGACCACCAACTCCAGATTCGTTGCGCCGTGTTTGGAGTCCTCAGTGTCTTGGCCCTCAGGAAAAACCCGGTGAGCCCTGTGGTGGTGGTAGGCTCGCTTTTGTGTCGGGCAGCTTCGACGCTGACAGATGACCCCCTGCTCTATTATCTAGGCTACGCCTTCACCGGTTCTCTCTTCCAAGGACAGGACTTCTCCAAACTATGGGGGTTATAACCGCTTAAGGCCCTTGAATTCCCGTTCCTACACCAGGTATCCGTGTTTTTGGGGCACACACTTCAGGGGTCCCTGAATTTGAATTTACGCAGGGTCCCCCACCCCCAAAACATAATCCATGATACTTGCTTGGACACCCCCAAAACCCAGCTCAATCTTGAAACCTTATCTAAACAGTCCCTCTTTCAAGAGGAGCTCTAATTTTTGGAAACCCCCCAAATCTTCATGCCCAAACCCTATAGATCCATGTGTATCCTGTATAGCCCCTACATTTCCTACGGCAGAGGCCTATAAGTTTTGGCCCTAAACCCTAAACCCTCGCTAGGAATCAGCCATGGCATCGCGCGAGAGGAAGCAACTCTTGTCGCCCTCCAGCGGCAAGGCACGGGATTCTCTCCCTTGGCTTCGGGTTGACCAGGGTTTATCGGGGTATAGTATAGTATATTATAATATATTCTAGTATATCATAGGGGTTATAGAGTTTATACAGGGAGAATGGAAAAGAAAATGGAAACTACTATTTAGGGTTTAGGGTTTAGGGTTCACGGGTTTGGTTAGGCTTATAGTCTCCCTTAAGTAGACAGAATATTAGGGTCATATTGGGGTTACATAGGGATAATGGAAAAGAAAATGGAAGCTACTATTTAGGGTTTTGGGTTAAGGGTTATAATAGTCCCCCTTAAATAGATAGAATATGGGGTATATGGGGACCTTGTTATGATATACCCAAAGCCATATTCTATCTAGTTAAGGGGGACTTTAAGGGTTTAAGGGTTCAGGGGGTTGGGGGTTTATAAGTTGAGGGTTCAGGGGCTTAGGTTTTATGTTTTAAAGTTTACGGTTTGAGGGGCACGTTTCAGAGACTCCTCAAACGCTGCGCGAAGCATTTGACCATGTTGATTCAGCCGGTCGGGTTACGTCCTGGTGAATCATATTTTCTTATGGGGTACATCAAGCGACCTAGATTTGATGACGGGCCAGGCGCACCCAGGCCCACATGATACATTGTACGCCTGAAAGTTTGGCCGCAGCAAAAAGATACCTGCAGTGTCCAATCTTTTTGGCCCGCCCAAGCCGCATCCTACAATTCCTTGGTATTGGGGCTTCTGGCCATACAAGACAATAGCCACATAGTTACACAACAAAGGCCTCCACTCTGTTGGGTGTTTCTGAGGCCCTTTTGAAAAAGACTGGAAAGCACCAAGTTGACATGAAAAGCGCGGGTACCAACGGAAGCTAGAAACACAGTCGTCGTTAACAGATATCCCTTGTGGAGCACTTCCCTCCCCCCTACCATCAAGCATTCCATACGGGAGCCCTGTGGACCCTAAACCTGAATTCTAACTCTCTAAGGACTCAAAATATAGTGCTTTTGGGCCCACAGACCATACCATATAAGGCTTTTGAGCTATTTTGAGCCTGAGGGTAATGTTTGGTTCAAATTAGGGGGCGGAGGATTCTAAACCCTGAGCCCTAAAGCATAAAATTCCTGGCTTGAGAGCCTGTTCGGAACCCTAAACCCTAAGCCCTAAGCCCTCAACCCCTAAACCCTAAACCCTAAGCCCTCAACCCCTAAACCCGAAGCCCTAAACCCTAAACCCTAAAGCATGCGGCACCCTGTCAGGTGAGCAGGCGAAGTTGCGCTACGAGTGGTTTGGCCGGAGTGGGGCAGTGCGTCTATTTGGGGGGGTTCCCGAAAGTAGGGTGTTTTTTTGAGGGGTCCCACAATAAAGTAAGGATTATAGTATTTTGAGTTCTTTCTTGGGGTCCCCCTATTTATGCAAACTGGAACTACCAAAAAAATGATTTTTATACAAACCTCACAATGGTACCCTATATCCCCTCCCCCACCCCTGAAGCACCCTAAAGCCTAAAACATATCGTAGTTTCCGTTATTTCTTTCAGTGCCCCGCTGCCCCTATGCAAAACTAAGTCAAAGGTTGAATGGGCCCTTAACCTGGGAACCCTTAAGTGCCCACGATATACCCTATATGCCCCCTTAAGGGTCCCTGAATCCCCCTAAAAGGCCTAAGGGGCCCACATAAAGGGCCCATACTTCACACCTTCACATATAACCCTAAACTTTAAACCCTAAACCCTAAATAGACCCTAAACCCTAAATAACCTTAAAACCTAAACCCTAAACCCAGGTGGGCGCACGTCACCTACTTCCCGGCTCTGCTATTCCACACTGTGCAAGACGCAGCGTCCAGGAGGTTTAAGGTCTCTTAGTGGCCCGCCGGTGAGCATGCGGTTGAGGGTTTACGGGTTTAGGGTTTAGGGGTTAATCCCCTCCCCTAATATGAGCCCCCCAAGCGCCTTAATCAAAAATGTTTCCTCTATGTTACAATATACCACAATGGGAATGTTCAATATTTGAGGGTGGGAGGTTTAGTGTCAGGGGAGGGATTAGAAATTGCTAGTATTGATGCTGTTGTTGCTACTACCGGGGATGGCCATTGGTGATGTGAAGATCCATAAGCCTGATTTGATTATGTCGCTTGATCGTGGCATACTTGTTCCTTGTGATGGCAGCCTCCCGTCGGAGAGTCTGCTGATGGACTTTCCAGATGATAGCCGTGGTGGAATAGCTCGTGTTGCCTGAAAAGGCACGGATTATGAAGCGCAAGCTCGTGGCTACAACGCTTTGAAGTCAAAAAGCGGCTCATGTAAGCTTTGCTCCCGCCATTGAACGTGGCCATGTGTAGACCCCTACGGTATGTGTATACACATATATATATATATATTCAGAGTGAATATATTCAGCTGCTTCATGCTACCCAACCTCCGTACATTCCTGAACACATTGGTCCAGCGGTGTGCAATGCTTGCGAAAGAGCTGTCATCAGTTGCGAAGGGCCCCAAAACCGTCCCCAAAATAATATATCCTGAGGGAGGCCCCGGAAATCCGTTTGTTCCTACTATAATATACTTCCCTGACACGGTATACGCATTTGGAAATCCCCATTTGCGGCTCAACAGGCTACGAGAGCAAGGTCTGCTATTCTCCCCAACCTAGCGTGGAGCCCCAACAAGGGCTGTACGAAAACTGCTTAAGGCGCTACATGAGGTTTCATATTACTCTGCTGAGGTGAGGTGTTGATGTTGCTGTTGGCCTGCTTCCACGAAGATAATGTCTTACAATAGCGAATCTCTTGAAAAAGCTTTCGCCTACATAGAGTATCATAGCTCCACAGAGACTAGCATTTCTGAGGTGTTGATGTTACTCTTGTCCTGCTCCCGCGAAGATAGCGCGCCCGCCTACATAGAAACACACAGGTATCATAGCTCCACATAGACCAGCATTTGCTGAGGTGTTGATGTTGCTTTTGTCCGGCTCCCACGAAGATAACGCACGTTCGCCTACATAGAAACACACACGGGTATCATAGCTCCATAATGTTGGACTCTCTTTATAAAGGGGGGACCCCCCCCCCCCCGAACANNAACAATTACCGTTCCTCTTTAATATTTCGGCCCCCCCCCCCCACATTTGCCGCACAATTAGAATCATATGGGCCCTTAGAATCTATCAGCAACCTTCAAGCTGTTTCTGCTGAGCTTGTCTTAGGTAAAACTAAACTGACTTAGTCAATAATTTTGCTACTTTTTTTCGGGTCCCAGAAAATTTTATTGTTCCGGAACCCTCAAACAATACCCCTGAATAATTTCCCCGAAAAGTTTTATTATTGCGGCCCCCTATGCTAAAGAGGGTCCAACATTACAGACCAGCATTTGCTGAGGTGTTCATGTTGCTCTTGTCCTGCTCCCGCGAAGATAACGCACGTTCGCCTACGCAGAAACACACACACACGGGTATCACAGCTCCACATAGACGGGCATTTGTTGACGTGTTGATGTTGCTCTTATCCTGCTACCACGAAGATAACGCACGTCCGCCTACATAGAAATGCACGGGTATCGTATCTGCACATAAACCAGCATTTGTTTTTGCCGATTGATGCAGACGTAGTTTGAGCATCCCGACGAGGAGTTGAATCGTACTCATGTTGAAATCCGCAAAACGCAACCATCATGCACCTTGAGCCTGGAACAGCCCTAAACCCTAAACTTACCCTTCAACATTCCACAGGTACCCACCAGCATGGGGGCCCACAGAGAGTTGAATGTGCTTTGCAGACTCTGCAGGATGCATCCAGCAGCATGGTCGAGCAATGCCTGGACCGACTTGAGGTAGGGTTTCGGGGTTTAGGGTTTAGGGTTTAGGTTTCGGGGTTTAGGGTTTGTGTGATGAGGGTTTCGAGTATGGGTTCAGTATGGGTCGTAATTTAAAGCCACGGAGGACTAGGTGAATAGTTGCCTGGTAGCGCGAGCGGTAGTCAAATGTTGAAGCAGCTGTTATGCAAATTCATTGCGGATATGAGGGTTCTCATTGTATACCCCTAAAAGCCCCAAAATCCCTCACAGGTACCTCGGCAATCTCCTAGTCATGCCCGTTTGCGGTTTCCGGAAACAGGGTCCCCCTTTATTCACCTTCAAATTTTCTAGTCTTTCTTATAAGTACACCCCAAAAAGAGAAACCTCAAATTTACTCAGTGTTTTTGAAGGTACCCCATTTCGAGAGACTCCCACATGATGCAATTATTGCCGGTCTTGCGTTGCTGAAGCTTCAAATTCAGGGTTTAGGATTTAGGGTTGAGGGTTTAGTCTCAAGGGTGTAGGGTTCAGGGTGCTAGATTTAGGGTTTTGGGCTTAGGGATAGTAACCGACCCTACAATGGAGAAACAAATGGAACACCAACTGGAACATGACATGGAAGCTTTATGTGGGGTTGATAGGGAAAAATGTTTTGGGGCGTATTACATTAAATTATGACCCACATCACGTTCCTAGGTTCCTGGCGTAATTTTCGTGTTTTCTGATTGATGTGGCCGTCTCTACCAACTCCTCCAGGGCCCAACAGCGTTGACCCAAGCCCTTTCTTTACACGTAACGCAAACCCCTTAACCCTAGACCCTAAACCCTAAAAGTTATAGACCCTCAACCCCCGCCCAAAACTCTCCAACCAGACATGCTGTCCTCTAGGGCTCAGCAGCGTAGTTGAGGGCCTGTTGTGGGGAGCGCTCCCCCTCCGAAAGCCTCATGGCTCACGGCAACCTCTCGGACCTCGTGTTCCTGGCTCTGGTAGGGATCCGTGGCTTTTTTTGGGGGGGGGATGGGGGTTTCAAGGATGTATGGGGTTTAGGGTTTGGGGTTTAGGGGTTAGGGTTTAGGGTTTAGGGTTTAGGGTGTGGTTTAGAGGATGTATGGGGGCAGACATTGTTTAGGCGGCTTAGGGTATCAGCGTTATGTCGGGATAAATGATACGATTGGTGATATGTAGCTTATGCAACTACACATTGAATTGTGATATGTGGGCATGCATGGGGGTAAACCCTATACCCTCAACACCTACGCCCTAAACCCGAAACCCTAAACCCTACGAAACGGGAATGAGAGCTGCTTTTGGTGAGAGAGCCTAGGGCTGGCTGCGGGTACGAGTGAGCGTGTGTGAGCTATAGTCTAAACTCCTTAAGGTTGTATAGAGGACTTCTCTAGTGCATATTAGAGAGATACTAGGAGTTTAGACTATGGCGTATAGAAGGAGGGAATCTTTGGATGACGCCGGGGCTTTTGATAGTCATCGTGTACGGATTCTAAGCACGGGAGTCATCAGGCTATGGAATCAGGGAATATGACCCCCCTGCTTATATCATATTCCCTTACTCCCTGCTAACCGTCCGTAAGTAATTTAGGATCACCGTGCAGTGGCTGGCCTACCCAGCCACCCTCTTCGAAGATGTGGGACCTCTGAAGGCAGGGTTTTTTTCGCAACAGAGCTGTGGAATTTGAAGATGTCAGGTAGGGTTTAGAGAGTCCTCAGTCTTTTTGGCGGGGGCTATTTGAGGGGACTTAAATAGCTGTCTAAGGTTAGCGGCACGATCGCCTCCAGTCAGCGAAAATATCAGCTCTATCACAAGACCAGTCGTATTCATGAAATTAGCGCTTTTCCAAAAGGCCGCTTTTGGGTGCCCCTGAACCTAAGGGCTTAGGGTTCAGGATTCTTAAGCCCTCAACCCTAAACCTGAACCGCTCAAGACTAGAGTACATCGGGGCAAAACAGTGGGGAACCTCTTTTTTGGCAATTCCCTAATAGCTCCAGCCTCAAGTAAGGACCCAAGAGAAGGCCTCAGCTATGGCCATAAGAGCTAGAGTCTGAACTCTCCACTCCTTAAAGGGGGTTATATGATAGAGGGGGGATTATATAGGGAATGACAATAGGGTTATTAAGGGGGATACTAGGAGTTTAGAATATGGCTGAAAGTTTTTTCGGTTACTCCAACCCCTAAGTTAGAACCTTCTGATCATCATATGGTTTGAAGTTACGGAGACAGCAACGAAATGCACCTTTAACCCATAGTCCCGGAAACCTGCAGCCCCAAACCCCACACCCTTAACCTCGTAACCCTTCCGGAAGGTCTACTGAAGCCTACACGGTAGTTTCCCAAAATAAGGGGACCCCAATATAGACCCCAAAATACTATAGTCCATATTATGGGGACCCCCAAAAAGGTACCCTTAATTTTCGGAAACCCCTACACACCCCAATCCCTACATCAGCCCTGGCATTCAGGCGCAGTTCAAGTCCAAGAGTGCAGACATGGATGTTCCTGGGCTCCATATGTACTATAGTCTAAACTCCTTAAAGGGGGTTTTATAGGGGATTATATAGGGGACTACTATAGGGGTTATTAAGGGGGATGCTAGGAGTTTAGACTATGGCTCATATGAAGACTTGCATGCGAGTCATATGTGAAGGATTGAGAGGGTTCCTTATGTTTGTAGTTTGAGTTTTCCCGATGTATGCTTATTTGTCCTGCATACCCCCTATGCACCCCAAAGCTGGACCTGCTGCAAATGCTTGAGCGGCTGCTCGCTGCCTAATCGCAGACCCAGCGCCCAAACCCCACACAGTTCTCCACCATGAACTCGTAGCTCTGAAATGTTAATTTCCATAAATAGGGGGCCCGGAAAGCACGATGATCAACGGTACCTCTACTTCTAGGAAAGGCTCATTTTTCCAAACCACTCCATAGCCCAAGTTTCCATTGAATTTGCCATGTTCTTTCCCACTTCAGTCTCTATTGTTGAAGTTATATATCAAACCATTGTTCGGAACCCCCCCCAAAATCACCTTAAACCCTAAAACCTAAATCCTAAACCCAAATCACCTTAAACCCTAAAACCTAAACCCTAAACCCTAAAAAACTCAGAGGCCCTGCTGAAGTTTGGAGCCGGGCTGATCCTTTTCCTCGGCATGATCTTCTCCGCGGTGAGTTGGAATCCCGTTGCTTGAGTGAGTGAGGGGGGTTAGGGGTTTGGGGTTTAGGGCTTTAGTGATGGGAGGGTTTTTGGGGGAAACCCTACTTCCAAAATCAGATTCCTACAACAATCATATGATTATAGTACTGCACTAACTTTGGGAGGATGGGGTTACCAAAGCCGTCTGCTCACGGTGAAGCTTATACCATAATATACCAGAATATACCAGGATATACCAGAATATACAACAAAATACTACAACCAACCATAATTCACCACAATATATTATACTATAAGAGAGACTTTAGGGTTTGGGGGTGAGGGCTCCCGGGAGTGAATTGCCTTCCCATGAACAAACATGGATCCCCAAAAAGGGGCTTAGGATTTAGGCTTTACATTGGGGTTTAGGGGCTTAGGCTTTAGGGTTTAGGATTTAGGCTTTACATTGGGTACTGCCCCTCCCGAGTAACAGTCTATATTAGGGGTCCTAGTAAGGGCTATATATAACCATATTACAATTATTATCCAACTGTTACTGAGGGGGGGCAGTACCCAAGCTTTAGAGTGTTTGGATTTAGGGAAAGGATGTCTTTCAAAAGGGGTGCATATGGGGTTCCATGTTAGTTTGCGGCGTACAGGGTGTCCCTCGAAATTGTGGGAACTGGTTTAGTGGTGTGGGTAGTAAGGTGATATGATTTCGAATGTATGTACATTGCGGGAAAAGCGGGGGATGGTAGCCCCACGTGCCTTGTTTACTTTCTTGCAAGGGCATGTTTTGCGTATAGTGGAGATGTGCGTGCATGATGGGATGACCGTCAGGGACAAACGTTAAAATCACGTGCCAACGAAAGACCAGGCGCAAAGCATAAATCTGAAACAGCATTGTGAGGTCAACGGGAAGATGGCAGGCTTTGGGGCTTTCATCACCATGGGCTACTCCATCTACAGCAGCTTCAAGGGAGATGGTGAGGCGTTCATCCCCAAATTGTTCTATGTTTATGCTGGTGTGATCCTGCTGGGCGCGCTGCACATCTTCGCGTTCCCTTCCAACCCTCTCCCCAAGAAGACGCCTGAGGTGGGAGTTTGTCGAAGTAGGAGCATCCGGGCATTTTCCCTGTTGAGACACTTGGAGTGTCACCGGGACTTAGTATGTGCACTTACAAGCCTTATGAGCCACAAATAACTCCAGTTAGTCCCAGTATTACCTACTTGCCAAGCCCACTTCACCTGATCCTCCTAGTAGGAACCCCCAAGCCACCAATTTCAGATGCCTAAACCCAAACCCTAAACCGCAGGTGAAGAACAACCATGGGAACTTCTCTGACCTCATCGCCCTCAGTTTGCTTGGCGTAGGCTTATCCTGGTACTTCTACCCGGAACACCTATTCCAGGATTTGGGCCCGCTTAAGGCCCAATTCAGCAGCAATTCCGCAGATTTGGCCGCTCTCATCAAGTTCGTTGCAGGGCTCATGGTCATCATTGCCCTGATGCTCTCTGGCGTCAAATGGTATCCTGCCAGCAGATCATCTCCATCATAATGTAGGTGCGTACATACTTGCCAATATATGATCGCTCTAGAATCTTTATATGGTAGTTTTCCAAAATAAGGGACCCCAATATGGACCCCTAAATACTGTAATCCTTCTTATGGGGACCCCCAAAAAGGTACCCCTAATTTTTTGGGAAACCCCCATATACTGAATTTTAACCTTATTGACTAAGGGACCCTTAACCGTAGACATGGGCCCCTCCTGTAGCCGAGTATAGTCCTGATACAGTCCTTCATAGGAAGCTGTTAATTCTATGGGGAAATTCTGCTCATGTAATTATGGCATATGATACCTCAGATACACCTCAGGATGATGTTTGCAACGCGGAGCCCTCAACCCAAAATCCCAAGTTCTTGACCTGGCGTGCGCTGCAAGTGATTAAACAAGAAGTTATTCAGTGTAATGTGGGGATTTCCTAAATTCTTAGCAAATACGTGTCTTTATAGTTGGATTCCTAATATAGTGCAGGCCCCTGTATGATTTTCTCCCATGTTCGGAGCAGTATTTCAGGCCAAGTCCCTTGTAGGGTGAGTAGTCACCAATATTATGGTCCCAGATTCCATTTATGGAGTAGAAAATCACATCATGATCTGGGTAATCATTTCGGCCACTGCAGAGTTAGTTGATTTGGCTTGCGAAGGGACACGACGCTCCCCTGGCAACTCAGGCATAGCAGTAATTGACTGACTTAGGAGATGTCATTGTTTGGGTTTAGGGTTTAGGGTGTAGGGTTTATAGGGTTTAGGGTTTAGGATTTAGGGTTTAGGGTTTAGGGTGAGAATGTTAAATTCAAAGCCCTGAGGCTTTTGATGTCCGAACGCTTTTATCAGCTCCTCAACCGTGCCTCCCGAGCAATACTGGAACCCGTCCCCTCAAATAGACTACCAGGACTATGAGTTATCACTAACCCTAAGGGTCCAAGGACCCACATAATGGGGCTTGAGGGCCCAAATATTAGAATGTTAATTGTAGTTAGGCCCTAGAACCCCATTATTTGGGTCCTTGGACCTTGGTAGTGAGGGAAGGAGTGGAGATAGGCGAGTTGACAGTGCCCTGCCATGAGGAACCCCATCAACGGCAAACTGAGCGGATTGGGGGGATTTGTGGCTGCGGGCTACACCGCTTACAGCACCTACGTAGCAGACAAGGAGAAAGGGATTACAATAGTACACCCCCCAAAAGTGACCCCCCCGCAAGATTTAGAACCCTATTAGGCCTTATGAAGCCCTCTATAATCCTTATTAGCTCCTTACAACCCTGGGGGGGGTACCTTTGGGGGGGTACCCTAAACCCTAAGCCCTAAGCCCTAAACCCTAAACCCTACCCTTAATCCCTTAAAGGAGGCCTTCATCCCACGCCTCTTCTATGTCTATGCTGCGGTGATCTTCCTTGGGGCTTTGCACATCTTCGCCTTCCCTTCCAACCCCCTTGTCAAGAAGGAGAAGAAGGATGGGAAGAAGGAGTGAGGTGGGTCAAGTGATCTCCGGACATCCGATTTTGAGCAGTTCTTGGAATAGTCCTGGAAAATTGTGTGTCTAGAAACCCCCTGCTTGATCCCCCAAAAATCTCCACGTACAAGATCTTCTAAAAACCCTCCCTACATGGTCCCCCGTACAGTAGGTGCTTGACCTGCGCTTATTGCGCTCTGCGTTTGCGTAGTTGAGGGCGCCCGAGGAACAGGCCCTCACCCCGCCTCGTGCAGTGCATGCCGCCTTGCAGTTTTCTGGCATGCGGAGCTTGCGAGTAATCCGCTACCACTGATATTTGACACCCCCCTGCCATTGTGAAGTTTTTCCCGAAAAGAAGTTCGAGTGGCATACATGGTAGATTTTAGTTGTGGGTTCGGGGCATTCAATATGAGTGGCAAGGATGAATTATTGCATGAGCTTGACAAAGACCTTCTCTCCTGATGGGTGGCGAGGCTCCAAGAGAGGACAAAAAGAGCTTTTTTGCAGATTGCGTGCGGCTTCATAGCTTCCGCAGAGCTCTGCAATTTGAACATGTTTGATAGTAGGGACCATTCTGACGCGTAACTTTGGGGGACCACCCGCCATGTAGCTGCTTCGAGATCAGCTTTTACAAGTTGAGAGCCCCCCCAAAAGTACTGCTGCCGATGTATTTACTTGCGCACACCCAAAGTCAAAAAGGTAGACCTTAGTATAGGAGCTCCTATATGAGACTTATGGAAGTCAACAACGCTCGCATAATTTCAGGCATAGCATGGGCTTGTCGAGCGAACTAAGTTTTGCATATCTCGTAGGAGCTCCAAATGCACAACGTTAGAAAATCCCAACATGGGTATTTCTGCAAATTGAGAGACATGCGGGTCCCTATAGTGGGGTCCCTATTATAATTCGGCTCCCTACATACCATTCAAGCAGTAATTTAGGCTAAGTCCCATGTGGAAAACATGGTTCGAAGCATTAGTGAACCCAAAGCCCCGATCACCCTGTTGCGCAGCGTCGGCCACACATCTAGTTGTTTCACATTTTCCGGGAAATCGCTCACCTGTTGAGTTCGCCTTGTATCTAGTCGTGTTACCCCTTTGGACCCAGCCAGAAGACGCCCATTCATGCAATGCTGGGCCCATTGCTTTGAGAAGTCTCGTAAGCGTTTCTCAACACAAATGCAGTACCTTTGCTTAAACTTTTTTGTTGGGCATTATCCGAGGCAACATGCGTCCAAAACCAACCACAATTTCACCAGCACTGTAGTCCACAAACCCTAATCTAATGTTACACCAAAGCACCCAGCCCAACTGACATCCACAGGGATGTGGCCCGCGCGGTTTTGAGCTTCTCCGCGAAATTCCTACAGAGGACACGGGGCTCTAAAATGAATTTGTTTCTATGGCGGTCTTGGCCTTGTTAGCAATCCGCTTATGAAAGGTTCCTACACATGTCTTGACTTCAGGTCGAGTGTGTGCGTTTTCTGGGGTCGGTTTCATAAACTTTTGGGTCCCTTTCAGGTATGTTTTACCATCAACTATGTTTTTTTCAGTGTATGTGGCCCGAATCTTTGGAACATGGGAGTGTGATGTGTCTAGCCCAACTGCAAGGAGAACTGCTTTCTGCTTTTGAGACGACTTGTGTTGAGGTTGCTAGGGCTAGGGCGGGATTGGTTTCCAAGCCTGATACAAGACAAGACGGCATTTTTTCATAAGGGGTGTTGCTGTTGTGCTGCGCAGAGTCATGTTAGTTGTTTTGAGCATTTGGAGAGTACCTGAGCGAGCACTGGTCGGGGAAATTCCATTACACATTGTTGGCTTTTGGTACAAGGACCATCTTGACAACTATGATTGTTTCCTGAACGCAGGCGCCGTGAATTCGTAGAATTCCGGTGATTAAGGGCGCACGGGACGCCGCAAAACAAATTTCTATTTCTGCTCACCAAAAACACTTTCTTGGCCAGCGCAACATTTGGGATGCAAAACGGCACCTGAACTGTAGTCTAAACTCCTTAAGGGGGGTTAAAGAGGGGATTATGTATGGGGCTATTATAAGATATATTACGGGGGATACTAGGAGTTTAGACTATAGCTCACAGGCTTTAAGTTAGGGGCTTACGGAACTTGTGCGTCTGATCAAATTATCCACAACATGCAATACAAGTTAAACTTCATACTGATTGGTCACCCTTAATGAAGGTTTTAACCTAAAACTGCCAACCACTGTAATGCATACAGTGCTCAGACTAAAAGCTGTTTTTCCTGCGGTTCAACAGGCGATTCCCGTGAAGCCCGAATTAACAAAGCTTTAAACCCTAAGCCCCTAAAAGCCCTAGCTTTCCCTTGGGGTTTTGATTGGAGTTCAGGGAGTTAGGGTTTAGGGTTTTAGAGTTTTGGGTTTGAGGTTCTTTTAGGTCCCAAATAATTACCACAATCTGTATTTTCGGCACCCGAAGCCACTTAAGCCCCTCAGAGTCAGACCTTAAAAATTCAGCCCACGTCTTGGCGTAGAACCCTATAAACTCTGCTACGTAGTCCCCAAGCGATCAGCCTGAAGGGACTTCATGCGCTTCTGATCGCAGCTGTGCGGCGCGGCCAGGACGGGAAGACAGCTCCTGAGGGTTTATAGTCCCCCTTAATAAGTAGATAGAATATAGCTTTGGGGATCACCATATTCCCCATATAGCTTTGGGGATCCCCATATTCCCCATATTCTATCTACTTAAGGGGGACTATAGGTTGAAGTATACGGGGACTTCTGCAGGGGACTTTTACCATTCCGGGACAGCCTCAGAGGGCTTCAATCCCGACTGAATAGTCGTTCAAGAGAGCAGTGGAGCGTACGCGCAAGTTCTTGCAGATGTCCACATGTGAATTCTCGCACAGGGGGTCCCTATTACATGCCCTGAAATAGTAGTACCCCTATCGTAGTCCCCAAAACAGGAGGCGTATTTGTTTTCATCCCACCCAGTTTTTTCAGCCGGAAGTAAAATCCACTTCAGGACTTCGATCCTACAACTCATGCACAGTGAGCTGAGATGATAGGGTCCGCAAATCAAACGTGCAATTTTGTTCGTTTCTACACAAACGGAAACACCTGTATACCTCATGCCAAATTTCCAGTTGTCCTCACAAATGGTTTAGGGCAGGGCCTGCAAATGTTTAGTTCCGGCAACCAGCGGTTGCGATTGCGAAGCATACTGGAGGAGAAGTGGCGTCGCTACATAGCCTATAGGGTTCATGCATATACTTACACAAATCCTCGGGTCCTCCAACTATCTGTTTTCACCCTTAGCATCCCTATGAAGCCCACTTTCCGTTTCATGCTTCATGATGAAGTCTTCAACTGGGTCTTCATGCCCTCGACCTTCCAAGATGCATGCCTGTAGATTGTTTGCATAGGTTTCTTCCGGAGCTGATACTGCGGCAGCCTTTGCACCAGCTCTGGGACGCCCGAAAACCGTAGAACCCCTGGCTCCACACCTGTTCAGCGCTCTGTGATGAAGATCTTATGTAAGAGGCGCTCTCAAGCATGGGGGTTGCTTTCTGTTCTAGAGGAACTAGGGGCCTGTGGTTGGATGGTCCTGTCTTGTGTCACCATTATGATTCTGCCCCTACTGTTTACAGGGTACCCACAACAGGACCAACCCCCCATTTGAACCGTCAGGGCTCGGGAGTTCTGCTGCAACGAATCCTACGAGCCTGGGTGCGCGGGCTGCATTTTCGAGAATATGCTTCGGTCAAAGCCTTTGAGGTTGCACCCTGAAGGTTTGTAGACTTCAGTTTTGGGTCCCAAATACCCAATTTAAGAACGAGGTTCCATGGCTTAGGGATCCACATCCACGGGTACAAGCCCAAATTAAGGTACAAAGCACAACTTCTTCATCAGGGCGGGGGGGTTTGATATTATTCTACATACTTTTAGGGTAGTTTCCACTTTATTTTCCATTATCCCAATATGACCCCTAATATACTATAGTAGGTTTGAAGTTTTTAGGGTCCTGGGCTTTTGGGGGTTTCGGGTCTTTTGGGCGGCCAATCGTAGCAGGGAAGACTATCCCTAAGGCTCCATGTAGGTA